GGACTAGACCTCCTCGAATTATCTATCGAGCAATCGCTGCGAAAAAAGCTGTTGAAGTTACCAGAATAACCTAAGTTGCTCCTCTAGGGCTGCTGTGGCCATTGCAACACAACGTCAAACACCTCCCTCAACCTAGAGACCGTTTCGTCCGACACCTCTGTGAGAATAAAGTTAGATAGATAGCATTCCATTCCACAAGAGCCACTTACGATAATGCACAACAATTCTACTTGCCGACAATCTCACCCCCTTCTGTCTCCCAACCTCTCTCAGATAACTTGGATTAACCTCGGAAGCATCCAAGTCTAGCCAGATCATATTAGTCTGTACCGGCTTCAGTAACTGTCCTCCGCGCTGGGTCCAGAGACTAGCAATATGGCGCGCCCGACGGTGGCTTCCGGACATTTTTCCCTCCTCACCGTAGGGGTCCCTCCCGAACACCTCATCCACGGCAACTCTAGCAGCGCTAGAGATAACCCCGGCTTGACGGATACCACCACCGATTGACTGTCGAAACCAGCGAGCTCGTTTAATGAATTCCGAGGACCCTACAAGCATACTGCCGATCGGGGCACCTAGTCCCTTACTGAAACAAACACTAATGCTGTCAAAGGTAGACGCATAATCGCGCAGGCTGTAGCGTCCAGATGCATATACCACCGCTTCCCAAAGCCTAGCGCCATCCAAATGAACAAGGATTCCATTTGAATGCGCCCAGTCCACAATCCTCTGGGCTTCATCCAGAGGCATGACTATGCCATGGAGTGTGTTTTCCAGACTAATTAGCTTCGTGGGACAATGGTGAATATTGTCGCTTATAACCGCAGACCGTTCGATATCGTCGAGGGTCAGATAATCGCCGTTCTTGGGCGTGACGGGAACGACAGTGGCTCCAGTCCATGCGCTGACGCCACCGGCCTCGGACGAGATTATGTGAGCACGGTGATCGCAGAGAACTGCATATGGAGGCTGGGCCAGATGCGTTCGAATGGCGATTTGATTGCCCATCGTCCCGGACATTACTAGAAGAGCGCTTTCATGTCCTGTTCGTGCGGCAATGTAGTCTTGCAGTGAGTTTGTGGTCGCGTCTTCGCGGAATGCATCATCGTCCAGAGTACATTGAGCGATGGCTTCGAGCATAGAACCCGTCGGTTTGGTGATCGTGTCGCCTATTGAATCAACTTTTGCCGACCCTAGGTTGAATTTATGGATGCTTACTTCTCAAATCGAACTCCGAGGAGCCAGGGTTCTCCCAGTGAGTGCCGGTGGTGTTTGCGGATTTCGACATTTGTAAGTTGGTCGTCTGAATACAATGAAGTATAGGTCTGGTTGTGGATCGTGTTTGGGTTTCCCGCAAGTGTAGAGTGCGTGAGAACCGACGACCCCTCACGGAAGGGTGGTGTCAGCAACTGATGGCCTGCCGCCCGGCGGCTATTAACTAGATGATTATTGGTCTGCCATCATACTAGTCGCTCTTCTCGCTGTCAATCCTGCCAGGTCCACGGAGCCTTGCCGACGATGCTAGATGTTCAAAATAGTCGTACATCTAGTGTAAAATTTGACATGCTGTCAGTACACCCAATGCCAATCTAATCCCTCTGAGATCCGGCGACTGCTTTCCCAAAGCCCATAAATGTTCCTATGTATGCACTTCCCGGCTAAATGCAAGTATAGTCCAGTCACAGTTCGCATATGCTTTGTTCAGTATACAGGACATGGTCGTCAATGAGACTCTCCAAAGGCAATCCCATCCCATAGACCAATTTGCAATTAAAGCGACATACACACAGAAAACCCCATCAAGAACTCCAAGTACAACACAACCCAGTTTCAGATAAAGGTACCTCCAAATCAAAAGCCAAGGAAAAGATCCACCTGACCCACCAAGCCCTAACACATCTGCACAGTATACAAAGTACCAAGCAACATACCCACAACCAAACCAACAAGCTAAACAATCCCAAAATGCACAACCCGATCAAACCAAAGCCATAAGGGGGTGTAAAACCAAGCCAAAAACATCCCAAATCACGGCAACTGCCTCTCCTTAAACTCTCTCCATCTCGCCCTGAAGCCCTTTTTCTCTTTGATTTCAGGCGCATGAGTAGTCTTAGCGCCACCTTGGGTGTTTGTTTCGTCCTTGTGAATAGCTTCCGTGTTGTGGTCATTAGACTGCGTCCCGGTCACGAGCGTTTGTTCGGACATTGTATCCGATTTTCCTTCTTTCAGGGCGAGTTCTTGTTCGCGCTGGCGGCGTTCACGGGCTCGGCGGGCGACGGCCTCCGCTCCGCCTTTTTCACCTAGCATTACTGTGCCGCCGGGTCCGGGGGTGATGGCGGAGTAGTCTAGTGACCAGCCCATATTTTATATGTATGGGAATGGTGGAGGATGTTGATGTTGGGGTTGCGGGTGAATTGATGGATGTTGAGTAGAGGTCCGGTTTGTCTTGTTCAACGCGTGGGGTTTGAAACCTGTGGAAATCCGGGAATTAGGGGTGGCTTATGTATTGATCTCAAAGTGGCAGTGTTCTAGAAAGATTTGTTGGGGTGGGTGAGATCGGCTGCGATATCCATGGATCGGGCTCCGGAGATGGTAAAGTCTTGTAAATGACGTCATATGCAAGGGCTGTGGTTCCCTCTATCTCCACTTGGGCAATGCTTTCAAGGGATCGTGTTGAACTTAACTGGGTCCGGTCCTTGGCGTGGCTTACAGCGATCTTGGACATTATCTTGTGCTTACACGTAGACTTGATATTAACTGAAATACGATTCCAATAGCATCGCATGTTCCGGGCACATGTGGAATCAAACAAAAAGCCCTTAACTCCATTGTCCAACAATCCCATAATTCATCATATAATCATGCATTCGATACCATTACCTAACCGTCTCCGCGAGTTAAAGCTCTACTGCGTCGATCCAAGAGCTTTACTGAAGATTGCCAGCGTATGATCCCAAACCTTCTTCGGGAACCCTTGCTCCCGATAACCGTTCATCAGTTTCTCGTTCGCGTTATTAGCTCCGTCATAGTTGAGAATATATGACCCACCGCCGACCTTGCCAGTAGAAGCAACAGTCGCCTTCAAGCCGTCCACCAGCGGGACACCGATGGATGTCGGGTCCTCCGGAGCAGCAGGTGGGTAAGCGGCAGAAGTAGAAATGAACACATTTCGCTGTCCACTTTCCTGTAATGAAAGGGACATCGGTCGGGAAAGGAAACCGACGATCGATCCGGCGATCGATCCGAAGCTCGTATTCATCAAAGGCGTGCGGACAACGCCGGGGAACACATGCGCGAAGCTGATGGTTGGGTACTGCGCAGCGAGGTGTTCCACGGCTAGGGAGTTCATCGTCGCAGCGTATGAAGCGGCTTTCATGAACGACCAGGACTTCTGGAGGTCGAGGTTATCTTCTTCGATCTTTCCTTCTTGCCCGCCGGCTAAGACGGTCACCACTCGAGCTGGGGTCTTGGATGCGCTAAGTAGCGGGAGGAGATTGTGGACGAATCGCATACGGGAGTAGTAGCGGAGGGCATGGTTGTTCTCGAGGCCTTCACTTGTATCTTCTAATGTTTAGTACATGCATAATTGTAATATGCCGGACTTTCTTACCTTTTTTCGACGTGGCCAGATGTCCAGTCGATAGGAACAATAGGTCGATCGCTTTTTCCTTCTGCTTGATCTCTGAGCAGGCTTGGTCCACATTCTTGATAAGCGAGACGTCCGACTGGATGAAGTGGAATGTTCCCTCGGGGTTTGCCGCCTTCAACTCCTCCAGTATCCTCGAGCCGGAAGCTTCATTGCGCCCAACCAGATGGATGGTCGGCTTTTTGACCACCTTGGCTAGCTCTTTGGCTGTCGCTTCTCCGATGCCACTCGTTCCTCCGACAAAAACCGCGACAAAGTCCCCATCGCGTGAGTGGAGAACGGAGTTAGACTTGCGCACTTCACTGAGGCCCACCATGACTATTGCGGGGTCTGCACACGCTATGGGTATGAAATGATAATGAAACCTGTATGGCAGTTTGATGAAATTAGAATTACAGTCTTTGAAAGCCCCGAGTTTAAGTATCTGCAGCCAGGCGCATAAGGTTCATTTGATAAGCACAGATACGAAAAACAAGCTGGTCGCGGCACTCGGCCTCAGAGGTAAAGAGAGAGCGTGACCGAATTTGTAATGATCGGGAATTGCATCATCACCCGCTTCTCTTGGCCAATCGTATCAGCCATTGCATCGACGATAACTACTCTGTACTACTTCGAATCCGTGGGGTTTCATGTAAATAAACATCTTAAATCCCCAATTTACCAACATTCGCATTTTGAGAACTGTGTTTGCCGTACTGTCTAGAGTATTGAGCAGTGTGAGCTAGCATCGACGGGTTTTAGGGCTCCATTGTCTGATGGACTTCCGCATGCGTCAGAAATCCGGATTTTTTCCCTGAAGTTACTATTAATAAATTGCGACAGATACTCGTTCCATTCACGCAGCATACTGCAGATTACGGACAAATATGATGCCTCATATACGCCTGGACTGTCCTTAGCTTGCCGTAACACAGCCCGATACTCGGTCTAATTTAGGGTTTGGCAACATGCGAAATTCCCGAATGACACAACACATCGTTATTGAATCAATGCACGGGTCCACCTGTCCTCATAATTTGGATTCTTCCTCATGTATCTCATCCTATCTAATAATCCAGCCTTGCAGTAGCATTTATCCTATGCCTAACACAATGATGGACCCAACCCAGCTACACCAAATTGACACTAAGCTAGTGACCACCCAATAGAAAAACAACGCGTATCCCTGCCCTTATCGCTTACCCCAAAATCCATACTCATACCTGGTGCTCACGGCCAAAAAAATCCCAAACAAACAACCCGATGGCACTATTGGCTCTTCCACCAACACCAAGCAACTCTAATACCCACTTGATGAACTGTTCTCTACTACCCGGAGGCCCATGGGCGTGGGATGGGCAAAAAAAAGAGTTTTCGTCAGCGACAGGATTTGAACCTATGCGGGCGAACCCAACAGATGTCTTTATGAAACTCGTCCTTGAACGATTATACATAATTCGAGTCTGTCGCCTTAACCACTCGGCCACACTGACATTTTAATATACATTTCAAGGTTTGTATGGCAGCTGTTTGGTTATTAGTGTTTGACAGACACGGGTAGTAAAAACAAACTGGATGGAGATGAGATACTGATGTAGAGGTTAATTGCAGAAGCAATATTGTACAGCTTACAATAAACAAAAAAAAGGAGTACATGCTTTGTAAATCCCGTCATACAGTCAAATCTTGGTCCCGCTCAAGAGAACCGCCTTCAGGGGCACTTCGTATCAGTGAAGACACGGGCAAGGGAGGACAAAAATGAACAAAAGCTGTGCTGACTGGTTCCACAGCGAGAGACTCGGCAGGGAGCAAAAAGAAATGGTCCCAGAGAGGCTCGAACTCTCGACTTCTGAGTTATTAGCTCAGCACTCTAACCGACTGAGTTATGGGACCGAATGGTTGAGGTTTTCTCTCCTATTTGTATATATAAGCTAAGCTGCAAAGTCGTCACGGGTATACATCTGTAACGTGCGTTTTGGCGAAGCATTGGGTGCTGCATGTGGCATTGGGGAATAAACTCTTCGAATTAACTTGATACTTATGCAAGATATGTGGTGAAGTTATTGATTTGTCGATTGTTGAAGATCTCCAGTACTAGTAATCCAAGGGTGGTGCTTGGTCCTGGTGTTTTGTGTGGCCCACTGCTGGTGCATATATATTTCTGCTCATGTTCCATGCACCGTCGTGATTATCCACCGTACTTGAATTCGTTCCATTTCCCGTAGCGCACGCTGCCCTTATTCAGTGTAAGATGTAAAGATGAAAATCCTTT